CACCGTCTGCGGGGCGGCCGCGGACCCCTCAGAGGTTCAGGGCGAACCCCGAGCCCCGGGAGCCGGTCCGGAGGAGCCCGAGGAACGCCCGCCGCCTCTCCTTGCGGGACGCAAAGTGGAAGTGCGGCAGATGAGTCTGGCGGGGCAGCGGGAGGCAGCACCCCAGAGGGCACTGGGCAACGAGGGACGGGGAGGAAGAGAAGTCGAGAGTGAAGGGAAGGACAGAGGAAAGGTGTTCTGAAGGCCGAGGGAAGTGAGTCTCCGCCCGAGCGGAGTGCCCCCTGGGTCACATGCCACTGCGATGCCTCGAGGAACACCGAGAGCCTAATGAGGGCATTGGATTTGGCTGCGAGCGGTGTGTAGGTACATCGTGTCCCACTTATACTGGAAAGCTTTAGATTTGGCAGCGGAAACACAGGTTATAGAGGACAGGTATGCTTAGTGTTGTTGGAAGTAAGGCGAGCCCCCAAGTCAGGGGGCCTGGTAGAACACAAAACATACTCGGGAGCCAGGCAGCAAGGCAAACATCTTTACCTCCTTTTAGAAGGGTGCGCACACATGGTCTGGAAGCAGCAGGCACACACCTAGCAGGTGGGCTGCTCGGGATTTATACCCCCCTCACGTGACCTGTGCCTTGCTCCTGATTGGAGCTCAGGCGCACAGTCTTTTGCGATTGGCTAATTCAAAGGGAGTGGTTGGCCTTTGCTGTTTCAAGATGGCGCCCCTGAGTCACGCAGCCCAAAATGGCGGCTGTCTACACTGTTCTTTGACAGAAAAGATGACTTGTTTATTCTCACAATTCCCCCCTTTTCTTTATTTAAACTCTTCAAACTCGGCTGACATCCATTGACTCTCCTGCTTTGCAGTGTCTAGGAGACTAATTTGCTGTTTGGTCAATGCGGTTTCGATTGACCCTTGGCTAAGACATGGGATGATGTGACATCCCATCACTGTAGCTCCTAATCAAAGGGGTGACGTGGACACCATCGCTCTGCCGTGGTTGGCAAACCGCGGCTCCCAAGCCACACTCGGCTCTTTGGCCCCTTGAGTGTGGCTCTTCCACAAAATACCACGTGCGGGTGCGCATATACAGTGCGATTGAAACTTCGTGGCCCATGCGCAGAAGTCAGTATTTTGTGGAAGAGCCACACTCAAGGGGCCAAAGAGCCGAGTGTGGCTTGGGAGCCGCGGTTTGCCAACCACGGCAGAGCGATGGTGTCCACGTCACCCCTTTGATTAGGAGCTACAGTGATGGGATGTCACATCATCCCATGTCTTAGCCAAGGGTCAATCGAAACCGCATTGACCAAACAGCAAATTAGTCTCCTAGACACTGCAGAGCAGGAGAGTCAATGGATGTCAG